ACACACACACACACACACACACACACACACACACACACACACACACACACACACACACACACACACACACAAAATTGAGTTTAGGCTTTATTTAGGGTCAGGCTGTAGAAATGACTGAAAAATGAAGTCAAGGTCCCCACAAGGATAAAAAACCAGTGTGTGTGTGTGTGTGTGTGTGTGTGTGTGTGTGTGTGTGTGTGTGTGTTACCTGTGCTGTAGGAACACTGGACCAGTTTCCAGCTTCCATCAGCCTCACACTGAGGCACAAACAGCCTGTAGGAGCGACGATGAGGAGGAGTCAGCATCTTCACCGCTGAGGAGCATCATCATCATCATCATCATCATCATCATCATCAAAAGAAAAACAAAACTCAAATTTCAGTAAAATAAAAAAACAAGTTCAAGTTGACTCAGACTGAAAAAATGAGAAAATGTGATCTTTTAAAGATGTTTAATAAATGAATCTTTAAATAAATCAGATATCTGATGTTTAAACTGTCTGCAGCTCAGACTCACTGGAGAAAGCAGCCAATCGCAGCGCAGATCTGGTCCGACTCAGCAGCCTGTCAGAGATCTGCATCTCCTCCTCTGATTGGCTGATCTGCAGCTCCTCAGGCGTCAGGCTCAGACCTTCAGCCAATAGGAAGCCATATCCCAAAGGGATGTGGGAGGAGTTAGAGAGAGCGACGATGCTCTTCAGCTCCTGTGTGAAGGCTGTGACCTCAGAGAGCGCCTGGGAGCAGAGACCTGACAGGAAGCAGGTGACAGTTTACCTTTACCTGTTCAAACCTGCAGCTTGTCTGGTCATCACGGAGATAAAAACTAATTAATCAGTTCATTAATCAGTTAATCAGTCAATTACTCAGTTAATTTATCAGTTCATTACTCAGTTAATTACTCATATAAATAGTTAATTAATCAGTTAATTACTCCATTAATTAATCATTTAATTACTCAGTTTATCAGTTAATAAATCAGTTAATTAATTAGTTAATCAATGAGTTAATTACTCAGTTAATTAGTCAGTGAATTACTCAGTTAATTACTCAGTGAATGAGTTAATTACTCAGTTAATTACTCAGTGAATGAGTTAATTACTCAGTTAATTACTCAGTGAATGAGTTAATTACTCAGTTAATTACTCAGTGAATGAGTTAATTACTCAGTTAATTACTCAGTGGAAGAGTTAATTACTCAGTGAATGAGATAATTACTCAGTTAATTACTCAGTGAATGAGTTAATTACTCAGTGAATGAGTTAATTACTCAGTGAATGAGTTAATTACTCAGTTTAAACTCAGTTTAATGAGGGTTCTGTTTGAGTCTGACCTGCAGATGATCCAGGCTTCAGGTTCTTCTTCTCTGGACCTGAAACACAAACAGTTTAAATGAAAATAAAAGAAAATAAAAGAAAATAAAGTCAGAAACAAAGCTTTCCTCTCATGACATCATGTACATTTACAGATTTATTTCCTCTTACACGTGACGGCGCCCTCTGTCGGCTCCGTCGTGGGGTTCCCGTCAGCGTCCACGCAGAAGCAGCGGGAGCCGGCGCACTGCAGCGGCAGGAAGTCTCCGCCCTCCGAGCACACCGGGAGGTGGAGCTCTGCCCCGGCGGCCATGTTGGATCTCTTCTTCGTGGCCGTGATCAGCGCTCGCTCGCAGGGGGACGGACAGCGGGAGGGACGGCCGACGGTGCGAGACCCGAGCACTTCCTGTCCCTCGTAGTCCACGCACCAACACTCGGGACCCTGGCACTGGACCTCCTGGAAAGCGCCGCTGGGCGTGCAGCGAGGGAGGAAGAAGGAGGAGTCCTCCTCTTCATCGGAGCAGGAGCGCAGGAGAGGAGTCAGAACCTGCAGGACATCAGGAGGAAGGTTCTGGTTTTAAAATCTGAATTTATTTATTCTTTTATTCAAACTGATCAGACTCTGATTGGACTTTTGGTTCTGGTCCAGACCAGGGACAGGACTCAGACCTGGTCCAGCGGTGCAGACGAGGGGCTGCTGAGACTCTTCAGGGTTTGTTGGAGGGCGGACAGGAAGGTGGGGTCCTCCAGGGCTCTGCTGACAGACCGGACCAGGTTCTGGTACCGCTGCAGAGGGGACAGCTGGTCTGGACCCAGACCCCCCACCACCCCGCTGAAGTTAAACGCTGCTGCGCTCTTCAGGAACTTCCCTCCGAACAGGTTCTCCTGGAGACGAGCAGGCGGAGAGCGGGTCAGAGCCTCCAGAGCTCCGCCCACTGAGGGGAAGGTACCATGAAGGACTTCGATCAGCAGAGACAGGAAGGAGGTCGGATCCGCCTCCTCCGGGAGGAGGTCCCTGAGAGGACGGAGGAGGGAGAGACAGGAAGCTGCAGGTCCAGAGGACGCCTCGGAAACAGGACCAACAGAACCGGAGAAGAGCCGGGACAGAGCCAGACGGCGCCGAGAGGGACAGTCAGCAGAACCAGACCCTGGAGGAGGAGCAGGAGGAGGAGTCACTTACACCAGGACCTGAAAGGACTTCCTGTTTCTCTTAACCAGTCAAAGCCTGTGGCTGAGATTTGACTGTAGAAAGACAAGAGGACTCACCGCAGACAAGAGAGTCTCCCATCTGTCGGGTCCCAGGAACCTCCCTCCCTGTGGGGTCCACACACCAGCACTGCCCCCCCTGCTGGCACTGCTTGGACCTGAACGACCCCCCAGGTTCACAGGACGGGACGAAAACACCGCCAGACCCCATCCCTGCCTGACGCTCCTGCTCACAGAGAGACGGACCTGAGGGACCAGAGGGACACTGTCAGATCTGGATCTGGACAATAAACTGGTTTAAAGTATTCAGATTAGAACCAGATTTCGAATTTCAAAATCCCAGGTCCATCACATCACCTGTGGCGTACCCCAGGGGTCAGTCCTAGGCTCAATACTTTTCAATATTTCCATGCTTCCCCTTGGTCATATTATCGCCAGGCACGGCCTATCATTTCACTGCTACGCTGATGATACTCAGTTGTACCTTAGGACTGACCCCACCTCCCCCGCCTCTGTGCCTCCTGCTCTTGCGTCCTTCCTGGAGGACATAAAGGCACGGATGACGAATTTCCTTCAGCTAAACAGCTCAAAAACTGAAGTCATTCTTATTGGAAACTCGCACCAGATCCAGCCCTACCCCATTTCTGGTATCTCTTTTACTGGTTTTAACACTACACTCCCCCTCTGTAACTATAAAGTTTGACCCCCATCTCACATTAGATAATCATTTCCTTCACCTCTGCTAAATTTCCTTCTTTCACCTCTGGTTCTATCTGAATACTTCAAACCAGTTTAACATCTGGTTCTATCTGGATACTTTAAACCAGTTTAACATATGGTTCTATCTGAATTCTTTAAACCAGTTTAACATATGGTTCTATCTGAATACTTTAAACCAGTTTAACATCTGGTTCTATCTGAATACTTTAAACCAGTTTAACATATGGTTCTATCTGAATACTTTAAACTAGTTTAACATCTGGTTCTATCTGGATACTTTAAACCAGTTTAACATCTGGTTCTATCTGAATACTTTAAACCAGTTTAACATCTGGTTCTATCTGAAAACTTTAAACCAGTTTAACATCTGGTTCTATCTGAAAACTTTAAACCAGTTTAACATCTGGTTCTATCTGAAAACTTTAAACCAGTTTAACATCTGGTTCTTTCTGAAAACTTTAAACCTGTTTAACATCTGGTTCTTTCTGAATACTTTAAACCAGTTTAACATCTGGTTCTTTCTGAATACTTTAAACCAGTTTAACATCTGGTTCTT